CACACACACACACACACACACACACACTCCCTCACGCTTTCGCGACTGCCGCGGTATTATTGGAACACACGCGAGTTTAGAAGCGGGCACGTGTCTAGCTGGCGGTGTGTTTTAATCGGTGTTAGAAGAGCACTTATCCGCTAGGTAGATACCGGCGACTAGGTAGGTAGGTAGATAGTCTCTGTCTCTGTCTCTGTCGCATGTGTGTGCACACGCTGCGACATTTCGACGTGTGTGCACGCGTGCGTGTGTACGTATGTATTCATCATCATGTGTGGGGGAGCTGTTGGACTCAGCAAGAAGAGGACACAGAGTCGACGAGAGAAAAACGGACGGAGATAGAGAGTGTGGCGCGTATGGTCGTGGATGCGAGTGTAGAAGCGCGTGTACGTGTAATTCGGGTGTACGTGTGTTGGAGTGAGCCAAAGCGAGGGAAGGAGGGAGGGCGGGAAAATTTGAAACCGCGCGTACACAGCGCGCGCTCGCGATGACGTAGTTTTGGCAAAACGTGGACGACGCACAGGTGGCCAAACGATATTCGATGCGTATGATTTTTTCGTTCGTTTCGGAGATGAGATGATGCGTGGTCGTAACAGTTAAATGAAATCGACGATGATCGACTGTGTCTCTTTTCTTTCTTTTTTTTTTTTTTTTCTTTTTTTTTTAGTTGGTTGAGACAACGATTCGAAGCAGTTCAATTTCGGAGAATGATAGAATTTCGGTATGACGTGGATGACACAGGTTCGTGGTTGCTGGTACTCACCGGAGTTGTAATATTCCTTAAAGTAGCGTGTCGCCGCACGTTGGACGATCGAGTAATATAAGTTCACGTACGACGTCGACTGGTTCTGTGCGGAGAGCGCCATTTACACTGTTTTTTTTCTCCCCGCGCGTTTTGTCACCGTGTATGTGTGTATATATATGTATATATACACGTATGTATATATATATATATATGAATATGTATATATATGTATATATATAAATATATATATTTTTTTTCTTTTTCCTTTTCCCTTTATGCCTCCTTCCACGTCTTTTATGCGGACGATATTCACGTACACGTATACACGCGCGTGTCCGTCCCGCGTACGTACAGACGCGTGCACGTAAGTGGTTAGGTGTCGTATAGAACGTAATGTAGATTCGAAGCGCGCACGTTCGCGTGATCACGGCGGGCAAGATGTGACGTGACGAACGACAAACGCGCGAAACGTGTGTCCCGTCTGCGGCTCTCGTTCCTTTCGTTTTTTCCTCTCTTTCCTCTTCTTCCGTCTCCTTTGTCGTTCTTTTTCCCTACCACGTCGCGATCCCTCCGTTGTGACACGAGATCGTTGTTCCCGATGGTCGCGGCCGTGAAAAAAACTTCCCGGTACCAGGAGTCGGAGAAAAAAAACACAACTGCTAGCTTT